ATTTAAATAGTATATAAGTTTAAATTCTTAATTCTATAAGGTAATATTTTAAAAAGTCCTGAATTTTCCCCTAGTGTGACACATGACACATTTTCTCCAGGTATCTTCTCCATTCTATCCATCACCCCCACCAGTAACTATCAAATTAAATGCAAATTACTCACTATAAAATCGTCATTTCTCAGACAAACCATAATTTTTATAGCCTTCAATTCTGTTTCGTTACAGAGATATTTAAATAGAAAATCAGGCCCCTCCTGCCACACCCACCTGTCGCATCCTCTCTTTCAGGATTTGTTGAATAAACATGAAAAAACAAGAAATAAAGTACTTACCCAAGTATTCTGCTTTTTTACTGTCAACTGTCGATGACACTTAACCCGACATTTTTATACTAATAGCAGTAGTGCATTAAATAATGAACCAAATAACATATACTAATAACATGCAAAAAACAGACAATTTCCTCTAACAATCACAATTTTTCTGGCTTTCTAACTATGCAACAAGAATTGTTACAAATTCTTACAAACTAGCTGTTGTGATTCCCATGGTAACCAAAGTTGTATTACAAATGAAATTGACGATTATTTTTTCAGAACACAATGTAACATAATACATCATTTGATAGATGAAAACCATGGCTTTCTATTGGTTATAGGTAATATGTAATTAAATGTGAGAAAGAACTATTAAGTTTTTGTACTCATGCATCGTACTTGTTTAGCCTCATCAAAATTTCCACGTGGAAGATGTAAAAAAAAATAGTTTTTGTAGGTTTTATGTATGCATTTTGAATTTAAAAAATTATGAATCACTGTACTGATACCACAAAAATCCACAGTAATTTATCAGGCTTCCTAAATAAGCTAATCATAATATCACTTTGATCACCACTCTTCAATGATTATAATGGCTTTACCCACATAAATACTTGAGGAAGTCTGACAGGATTACTTAGTTCAAAATGAGTGCTTTCAATATGTTATAAACATGTACTGAAAAAAGTAGGAATAAACAGACATTTTCAAATTAGGAGAGGTGGGAGGAGCCACTGTTGTGGGTTTGTTAAATATGATATCTCAGCAAATAGAAAAGGTAGAAAGTTCTTATTTTATATTTTAATTTGTCAATATTGTTAATTTGAGTATCTAGTTCATTAAAAACTATAGACTTTATATTTTTGTCAGGAATGTGCATTTGTTGATTTATGATAAACTCACTTGTAACTTATGTTAAATAATATTTGAATAATCCTTTTAGATTTTCTTGGCCTGAAAGCTCTCAACTTGCTGTTAAGGAATTCTGGAGCATTCTTCATTCGACGCTTGTTTGGGGGAGATAAGTTGTATTGGGCTGTTTTCACAGAGTATGTTCAGAATCAGCTGTTGGGAGGGGAAGCACCTCTAGAGTTTTTTGTGGAGGGAACACGCAGTAGAACAGCCAAATCTTTAAATCCAAAACTTGGTAAGGATTTTCTGTGTTGGAAATTATACTGTATAGTGCGAAAAAAACCAAAAACTTGTAGCAGTATGTATAGCATAAATAGAATCAGACATTATTTCTCTCAACATGGGCTCAGTCAGTTTGACCGACCGATCACGTGACCTCTTTGTACTCGTTCATTCTTTATAGATTTGATACTACTAACTGTTAATATATTGTGTATATCTTCATGAAATTTGGCAGTCTTTCAGTAAACGTTATAAGTTTTTCACATAAAAAAAATCATATTTTTTAGTGAAATATTTTTAATAGACTAAAAATAGATTTAGGCGTGAATATATCGTTTTTAATACTCCGTGTACAAAGTGATTTTCATGTTAAGATTAAAAATACTTTTCTTTATCTCAAAAATCTCAAATGTTTGTTTTCAGTAACACTTTATTTTATCTGTAATTTTCTCTACCCTAATTCTATAAAAGGTTGGTCAATTTGACTGACCTCTATACCCTCTTTTTCTTCTAGAATTAATTCAAATGGAGTGTGAAACTACATTCGTTTATCCTAAGTAGCTTTAAACTTGTAAAAGTATACATCTATTTATAATTAAATGTTATTGTTTTATTGCCCTTTGAACTGTGGCGAACTACTATTCGTGCCATTATAAGTTGTAACTAACGTTACTCTATTGGATTACAATTACCCATGAACTGCTTGTGAACTATTTTTATTATATTATTATTATTATTATTGTTTATTTTACCTAATCTAACCTCAACTAACCAAAAGAGATCCATACTTTTACATTTTAGTTACTTTTATAATAATAAGTATAGTAACATCATAAGTTTGTTTTGAATTTCGCGCAAAGCTACACAAGGGTCAAAGGGCAATACCACAGTATCAGAATACTCCATAATAAGATGTTCTGTAGTCACGGCACCAAAATGAGTGTTCTCCTTCAATTCAGGTCAAACTAATTTTTCTTAGAGTGATGGAATAGGTCTGCTGAAAAATATGAAATTGGACAAGCTATCTGTTACAGACTAGTCGTGAATTTCTCTGACTTAAGAGTTCAGGAAGAAGATTAAAGCACGCTGCATAT